CTGACACAGGGTGAGGCTTCCCCCTCGGCCCGCGGTGCTGCGGGCTCTGACACAGGGTGAGGCTTCCCCCTCGGCCCGCGGTGCTGTGGGCTCTGATACAGGGTGAGGCTTCCCCCTCGGCCCGCCGTGCTGTGGGCTCTGACACAGGGTGAGGCTTCCCCTTCGGCCCGCGGTGCTGCGGGCTCTGATACAGGGTGAGGCTTCCCCCTCGGCCCGCGGTGCTGCGGGCTGCGGAAGGGCCTCGCTGCACTGTGGTCCCGGTTGCTCAGCCGCAGGGCGCCCCCACCTCGCGCAGCGTCACTGCTCACGCGCCCCTTTCTTCCCGCGCCTTCCCTCTGTGGCGGGGCTCCCGAGGAGCTGGCGCCTCCTCCTCCATCCTTGTGTGCCTCTGTACGGAGTGAGCTGAGACTCCAGCGCAGACTGTTTCCCCCCTGGCTGGGTCTTGCTGAGGTGCCTTGTTCAGGACTCTTGCTTCCTGCCCTGCCAGTTCCCTGGGGTAAGGAGTCTACCTCACCCTTGGTGTCTCTGTCACAGCTCCCGGGTTTGGCCACTGGCTAAACACACAGTGACAATGATTTATGATCTAGGTTTGTTGTAGTTTGGGAGGCTGAGAAGACACATGCACATGTTCCGTTTGGACAGAAGAATGAACACATCCAATTAGACCCTGAATTCAGGCTTCAAAGCTGGGGCTTCAGTTGGGGTGTTTTCTTCACTGATCACTAAGCCGCTTAGGTTTGAATTAGATTCCCTCTTTTAGTTTTTATTACCTCTGGGTAGGAAAATACTGTTACATTCTTTTGTATATCCAAGCCTTATTCATCAGAGAATCTTTCTCTGGATTGCATTCTGATTTTTCTTAATTTTTTTTTCTTTAAAACAGAGTTTGAAAGTCTGTGTAGATTATTTTCATTGATTTTCCCTTGTTAACGCACCTATTTAATCCTTCCTAAAATGCCATGTGTTAATCAACCTATGTTGGCCTTAAAATATGTTCAGACCCTGCTTTAAAACCCAGACCATTGCAGAATCTTAAGAACTCAAGGCTCTTTGAATGTTGCAGATACAAATCTGAAGAAATTCAGGTAAGTTAGGCAAAAAATAAAGAAATCACAACAAAAGTTTGGGTCACTTGTTTAATATACAAAGTCTTTTTTCACAGGGAATTATTTGTTGTCCTTAATTTGTCTTAGTACACATAATTCACAAAACAGTAAACTTTAATGCAAGAGAATTAGGAAAAACCAAAAAAGTACAAATGCTCCATCCCCAAAATTGCACACAGTTAAAATTTCTCTTTTGTCTTAATGCAGTTTCAAATGGGCTTTCTTCAGATGTGGAGGAAACACTGCAGCCCAAAATAACAGTACTTCCTCTCAACTGTATTGATATGTAAAATAGCACCTTTGGGCTGACATAAAAGGGAAGAAAATTGGTTTCCATCTTTGTTAATTAAAGTGTAAGTCCTACACAATTATATGACAACTACAATAATGACAATGTTAAGTTTGGAGAGCTCTACTTTGTTCCAAAATACTAACTGGCATGAAAGGAAAGGAGAACTGTGTCAGGCAAATGAAACACTCTTCCCACCTCACCTCCATGACAATGAGAATGTGTCAGTGAGGCCATTGCTCTGATGGGCTAGTTTCCACCTCACCTCTGTGACAGAATGTGTTAGTGACGCCATTGCTCCAATGGGCTGGTTTTCCAGCCAAAGTATACAGATGGTTCAGGGACCTTGTGCAAAACAGTTTTAACTGTGCAGCTCTCTCTCTGGGACTAGAATCACATGAGCAGCAGCTCAGAATGAGATTTAATCCTGTGGCATTTGAAAGACTCCTTTACTGTATACACCTGTCTTCCTTCAGTTTCTCCATTGTTTTATATCCCAAGCTGATGGTAACATTTGTGTTTCATTTGTACTTAAGCTTGATTGCCTTTTTGGCTTCACTTTAAAAAAAAATATGAATTTCATTTCTTTACAACTTAATATTTGAGCTTATACAATAAAAGTGACAGTTCTTTAAAAAAAATTAACAGCATAACTGGTAATACCACAGAGTTGTGATTATAAAAAGCCAAGGTTTTAGTAGAATTATAAATTTATTCTTCAATTTAAGTCCTTTGTTTCAATTCCATTTTATTTCTTAAATAAGCAGGTAAACATGCTTTAAAAACTTGAAGAGCATTCCAGAGAGCAGTTTTTCTTTTTAAAGGGTATATCTAGTCCACGAAAGTATTTTCACAAAGCCACACCCAGTCATTGAAAGGTCAGAAACCATTGCCACACAGTATAAAAGAAAACAATCAACACTAGGTTTTAAATACACATAGTTATTTCCACTGTTTGAACCTTCAACAGCCATTATGGGAAAACTTTTTAATGATTTAAATTCAAGAGTTCAGGTTTTAAAAAAGAAGAGCGGAATAATGCTGACTTTTAACCCATTAGAGAGCTCTATATTTTCTCAGTTCAAGAAAGACAAAGCCTATTCAAGTTAATTTTGAGAATTTATGTGTGGTTTTAAAACACCATGTCCTCTTTTATCATTAATACAGTAAAGATTATCTTTATTTTTCATTCTAGTGTTCAGTGAGCCCCTTAATAAACCAGGCCTTATGTTAGCCAATCATCTTCCACTGTGAAATGAGCCATATAGTTACCTATCTTTCTGGAGTTTGGACAGAATTGAAATGGTGTTTTTGGTGTAAATAATCCTTTTCCTTACAGAGCAGACAACAGAAAGATCAACAGTTCTTTGCTGGTGATGATTTTGCTCCCTCAGGAACTTGTGGAAGTGTTGCCATTGCTAAACCTCAGGAGACATGGATTAGTAAACTGCTTAGGAAAGTTATCAGAAGAAATGAATCACGTTTAGTCCCTTGGGTGAAGTGCCATGGTTAAGTCACCCAAAGCTTCATTATCCGTGAATGTATGTGTCTTAAACCTTGAAGATGGAAATTAAGAAGTTAATGCAAAGTCCAGTGTAAGGTTCATATATTTTAATTGTGCAGAAATTTTGGTCCAGTTTAGTTGCCTCAAGTGTTTTTTTTTTTTTCCCTGTGCCTTCATTCAACAAGTTTTAAGAAAGATGAGCTTTAAAAAACCTCTTGTTTGCTGCCTGACTGAACACTTTGACGTTTTTCTCATGTATATACAGGAACACACATACCTCACATGCACACAAAGTTGACGCTGTTGACCTTTGCTCTATTTCTAAGAACTGGAACTATCTGGACTCAGTGTCAGCCACTACTAGTATCCTAGGATCCTTCTCAGTAAAAGGTTCTGTCTTTCCTTTTTCTATGGTAACCTGTAAGGAACAAGCACACTGATAATGACAAAGTACATCAATGATGTGATACCCAGATTTGTGCAGTGTGAAACCCATGCTTTGGTTCTATGGCCATCATGGTTGCCTTTTCACAATAATAAATAACAACAGCTAGCAAAAATAAATCACCTTGTTTTATGTAAGACATCTCTCTTTGACAGGCCACTATATTTATAATCATTAGTCTAGCTCACTGCAGTATTATTCATGCTTCAGGTTCACATGAATATGCAAAGAATACAATAATCAACTCATCTGTCAAACCTAAACGACTCAATTTATTACTTATCACAGAATCTTGAATGTTTTTGCTTCCCAGTTGAGCAAGGGGAATAATTGTCAGCTCCTTAAAATACAGTCTAAATGCTTGGTCATAGCTACTCACTGCTCATCTGTCAAGTTGACACCTTATGTAGATTTTAAAAAGTACATTTGACTTAAAAAATTATTTTTTATTTCCCCTATTATAAGTGCTTCATAGTAGCAAATAAGTTAATTTTGAAACTTAGGCAGATTGCTTTCTAGTTTTGTTTTATTACTCTTGAAAAATAGTAACTTTGTCTAACTTATTAAGATACTTCATTTGATTAGTGCTTTGTAAAATAACATTTGTGATACTTTGAAAAAAAGAATGAAGTGCTGTTTTGAAAGAGTCAACTGTTAAAACAGGTTTTGTGTCTAATTTTAGGGCTGCTGTATCCAATACAGTGGATTTGAATTGAGATTCCCTGTAAGGATGAAATGCATACTGGATTTTGAAGACTTGGTTCATAAAAGGAGATGTAAAATAACTCAATAATTTTTTATCATGATGACATTGAAATAATAATGGGTATATAATGCTAAATAAAACATTGTCGAAATTCACCTGTTTATTTTTACTTTTTCTAATGGTACTACTAGAAAATTTTAAATTTGCATATGTAAGCCAGCCTTTGTGGCTCACATTACATTTCTGTTGGACAGTGCTGTTTCAGAGGGTCCAAGTGGAGTATACAAGGCTTCTGGGTATTTAACAGAGCTAATTAAATCCCAAAATCTTTCAAAATCTACTCTTCATGATTTAAACATAATTCCAAGTATTAATATCTTCAAACGTGTCTTGCATTTATTTTAAAAACATGCACCGGTCAAAACAAACTGGACTCCACTATAGCCATAAAAACCTGTTAGCTGTCAAAGTATGAATATCAAAATATGCATCTTCCAAGTTTGCGTCTAATGTGCCTTAGGGATAATGCAGACAATTTCAAGCTTAAACCCAAATACCTTTGTCATTTCCAGATGAGAGAATTAGCATCATGAGGCCCTAGAAGAAACACATGTTCAACTCAAGTCCTTCCTCTGGAACTTTCCCTGGTACTGTGAGGACTCACAGGTCTGTCCACCCAGGCTTTCCTCATTGCCTAAAAGCATCCCTTGCTCCAGTGGTGAATTGTCTCAGAAATCATTTTCCAGCTAACTTCCACATTTCCTTTTTACACTTGAGACTGTTTCATGGGATCCTGGTCATTTGGTGTTTTCTTCTTTCCTTTTGAGCAAAGTAAGAACAAATGGGTCAGAAAGCGGAGAGAAGATAGAGGGCGACTATTCAGGATCGCTTCTGTCGTCTGTAGTGACAGGCTGGACTCTGCTCTGGGTGACAGACCCCCGCTGGCCCCGTCACACGGGTACGAGCTCGGTGGGCCCGGACTCCGTGGGTGGCCGTGTAGTGGTCGCCGTCGGCAACGCGGGCGCTGCCCCAGCGTCCTTGGTGTCCACGCTCACGGTGCAAGAGCGGTTCTTCTCCGCCCTCTTGGCTGTGTCCGGGCAGTTCTGCACAAAGATCACGCGGTTGTAGGCTTTCAGCCTGCGCCATAGCTGCACATAGACCTTGCACTGGACGTACATGAAGACCAGACCTCCAGTGAAGCCGATGGCCACCACAACCAGCTTTGTCCAAAATGGCCATTCGAGGACACCTTTCAAAGAAAAGAGAACGTTATCACCGAGTCTTTATTGATAGATTAGGTGATTTTCCCCCTATGGTTCCTTCAAAGGACCATGCATGCTGTTGTTTAGTTGCTAAGTTGTGTCTGACTCTTTTTGTGACCTCATGGACTCTAGCCCACCAGGCTCTTCTATCCATGGGATTTCCCAGGCAATACTAGAGTTGGCTGCCATTTCTTTCTCCAGGGGATCTTCCCAACCCAGGGATCGAACCCGTGTCTCCTACATTGCTGGTGGATTCCTTACCACTGAGCCTCTGGGAAGCCCTTAAAGGATTATGCCCACTTGTTAACATAAATCAGGAATATATTGTTAACTGGTAATACAACCAAAATTGCTTAATTGCTTTAAGTATTCTCAAAGTATTGCTAAAATTGTACATGACTTCTCTCACCTACCACTGTACTGTCTCTCATTCCTCTTACCATCAAGAACCACTGTGATCATCAGATACTACACTATATTTTGATACTTGACTTCAGCATTTATTGTTTACAGTGAAATCTTTAAGGAAGGATAGTGTACATACTGAGTGAAAGAATCAGACTTAATCCTCTTAAGGTAAGAGAAGCTATGTGTGTGGGGTTGTACCTACAGGTCCCCACCCCCACCTGCATTACCTTTTTTTTTTTTTTTCATTTATTTTTATTAGTTGGAGGCTAATTACTTTACATCATTGCAGTGGTTTTTGTCATACATTGAAATGAATTAGCCATGGATTTACATGTATTCCCCATCCCGGTCCCCTCTCCCACCTCCCTCTCCACCCGATCCCTCTGAGTCTTCCCAGTGCACCAGGCCCGAACACTTGTCTCATGCACCCAACCTGGGCTGGTGATCTGTTTCATCCTAGATAATATACATGTTTCAATGCTGTTCTCTTGAAACATCCCACCCTCGCCTTCTCCCAGAGTCCACAAGTCTGTTCTATACATCTGAGTCTCTTCTTCTGTTTTGCATATAGGGTTATCGTTACCATCTTTCTAAATTCCATATATATGTGTTAGTATACTGTAATGGTCTTTATCTTTCTGGCTTACTTTGCTCTGTATAATGGGCTCCAGTTTCATCCATCTCATTAGAACTGATTCAAATGAATTCCTTTTAATGGCTGAGTAATATTTCATGGTGTATGTGTACCACAGCTTCCTCATCCGTTCGTCTGCTGATGGGCATCTAGGTTGCTTCCATGTCCTGGCTATTATAAACAGTGGTGCAATGAACATTGGGGTGCACGTGTCTCTTTCAGATCTGGTTTCCTCAGTGTGTATGCCCAGAAGTGGGATTGCTGGGTCATATGGCAGTTCTATTTCCAGCTTTTTAAGAAATCTCCACACTGTTTTCCATAGTGGCTGTACTAATTTGCATTCCCACCAACAGCGTAAGAGGGTTCCCTTTTCTCCACACCCTCTCCAGCATTTATTGCTTGTAGACTTTTGGATAGCAGTCATCCTGACTGGCATGTAATGGTACCTCATTGTGCTTTTGATTTCATTTCTCTGATAATGAGTGAGGTTGAGCATCTTTTCATGTGTTTTTGTGCCATCTGTATGTCTTCCTTGGAGAAATGTCTGTTTAGTTCTTTGGCCCATTTTTTGATTGGGTCATTTATTTTTCTGGAGTTGAGCTGGAGGAGTTGCTTGTATATTTTTGAGATTAATCCTTTGTCTGTTGCTTCGTTTGCTATTATTTTCTCCCAATCTGAGGGCTGTCTTTTCACCTTCCTTATAGTTTCCTTTGTTGTGCAAAAGCTTTTAAGTTTCATTAGGTCTCATTTGTTTATTTTTGCTTTTGTTTCTAAAATTCTGGGATGTGGGTCATAGAGGATCCTGCTGTGATTTATGTCGGAGAGTGTTTTGCCTATGTTGTCCTCTAGGAGTTTTATAGTTTCTGGTCTTACATTTAGATCTTTAATCCATTTTGAGTTTATTTTTGTGTATGGTGTTAGAAAGTGTTCTAGTTTCATTCTTTTACAGGTGGTTGACCAGTTTTCCCAGCAGCACTTGTTAAAGAGGTTGCCTTTTTTCCATTGTATATCCTTGCCTCCTTTGTCGAAGATAAGGTGACCATAGGTTCGTGGATTTATCTCTGGGCTTTCTATTCTGTTCCATTGATCTATATTTCTGTCTTTGTGCCAGCACCATACTGTCTTTATGACTGTGGCTTTGTAGTATAGTCTGAAGTCAGGCAGGTTGATTCCTCCAGTTCCATTCTTCTTTCTCAAGGTTACTTTGGCTATTCGAGGTTTTTTGTATTTCCATACAAATTGTGAAATTATTTGTTCTAGTTCTGTGAAAAATACTGTTGGTAGTTTGATAGGGATTGCATCGAATCTATAGATTGCTTTGGGCAGTATAGCCATTTTGACAATATTGATTCTTCCAATCCATGAACACGGTATATTTCTCCATCTGTTTGTGTCCTCTTTGATTTCTTTCATCCATCAGTGTTTTATAGTTTTCTATGTATAGGTCTTTTGTTTCTTTAGGTAGATATACTCCTAAGTATTTTATTCTTTTTGTTGCAATGGTGAATGGTATCGTTTCCTTAATTTCTCTTTCTGTTTTCTCATTGTTAGTGTATAGGAATGCAAGAGATTTCTGTGTGTTAATTTTATATCCTGCAACTTTACTGTATTTGTTGATTAGCTCTAGTAATTTTCTGGTAGAGTCTTTAGGGTTTTCTATGTAGAGGATCATGTCATCTGCAAACAGAGAGAGTTTCACGTCTTCTTTTCCTATCTGGATTCCTTTTACTTCTTTTTCTGCCCTGATTGCTGTGGCCAACACTTCCAAAACTATGCTGAATAGCAGTGGTGAGAGTGGGCACCCTTGTCTTGTTCCTGATTTCAGGGGAAATGCTTTCAATTTTTCACCATTGAGGGTGATGCTTGCTGTGGGTTTGTCATATATAGCTTTTATTATGTTGAGGTATGTTCCTTCTATTCCTGCTTTCTGGAGAGTTTTATCATAAATGGATGTTGAATTTTGTCAAAGGCTTTTTCTGCATCTATTGAGATAATCATGTGGTTTTTATCTTTCAATTTGTTAATGTGGTGTTTTACATTGATTGATTTGTGGATATTAAAGAATCCTTGCATTCCTGGGATAAAGCCCACTTGGTCATGGTGTATGATTTTTTTAATATGTTGTTGGATTCTGTTTTCTAGAATTTTGTTAAGGATTTTTGCATATATGTTCATCAGTGATATTGGCCTGTAGTTTTCTTTTTTGTGGCATCTTTGTCTGGTTTTGGAATTAGGGTGATGGTGGCCTCATAGAATGAGTTTGGAAGTTTACCTTCTGCAATTTTCTGTAAGAGTTTGAGTAAGATAGGTGTTAGCTCTAAAAAAAAAAAAAAAAAAAAAAAGGGTAAGAGACACAGAAGCTGCTATATCTCACCAGAGAGAAAAAAATTTCTGGGTACAGACATGCATAAGATTTAAGGTTTCAGGCACTTGTTTTATCCATCTTAGATTTTGTAACTGAGAACCATCTCTTTTTTATGCATCAATGTTTTCTCTTAATTTCCATCATGATAACTAGAAAGGGACTTTATTTCACTAAGAGTTTGCTGTAACAGTATTTAGGCCATGCATGGTTATAAGTGTGTAATAAATGATGGCCAAGAGACTACATCTTGCCAACATTAGAATGCTGTGGAGGATATACCTGCCTTCAGTCATGTGAGAGGCTGTCAAATAGAGGGTGGTTGGAAATCACAATATAGGGGAGTTGAATTTCATTTACTGACAACAGTGAGTAGAGTTACACATCCTGCTGATAACAGTGACATTTACTTTACTCTGACAGCAAAACAGACACTGCTTTGCTTGCCTTGCACGGAGGATTTGCCTTGCTCTTCACTCGTGTCTGTGCAAGGAGAACAGACTGGAGTCAGTGAACTTGGGCACCAGCACCTCCCCGCTGGGCAGGGGAGGGTGTAACTGTGTTCCCTGGGCCACTGGGCAGTGTCGAGATGATTGTTCCACCTGGTAACACTTGGGCAGGTGCTACTGACTTAGCAAGCCGAGGTCTGGAATGCTGCTCTGTCAACATCCCGCAGTGTGTAAGACAGCAAGTAGTTTACCTAGTCCAGAATGCCAGTGCTGCTGAGGTTGAGAAGCCCTGTTGCAGAAGACGACCACTTCTTTATTTAGAAATTTGTAGGGAAGATTCAGTATACAAATTAAACATCTTGGAGTTCTTTAGATTTCGAAGGATTTTTGCTCTCAGCTGTTCCATTGAGCAGTGATCTCCTTGTTTAGAAAAATTTTAACCACAGGCAAGCAGGAGATGAAATGTGCTTTGTCTCATTTTCTGGGAAATCCCCATGCATGATACCTCACTTTCCCTCTGATTTCTATTCACACCGAAAGTTAGAAGTGCCTGGATAATTTCTCTTCTGAGCCTCTGCCCATGATATTTCCTCTCTCAGGATTTTGCTTCTCCATTTCCGTGTGTCTACCTGTCCCACAAACCTGAGTGGGAAATCATTTCCACCCGGAAACAGATGTACTCACCCTTTCACGTTATTTCTTACACATGTGGCCTGAGTCACTCTGACACGAGTTATTCTCTGCGATGCCATCATCCTGACAAGTGCAAGATCTGCATCTTCTTGGTCTGTGTTTTTCACACTGCCTTGCTCAGTAGACATTTCAAGGATGAATGAACATCCTAATGATCAAAGTCCTGACTTTGACTGCTGTGCCTCCATCTTTTCAATATAACCAGATGTGACAGCCTTTCTTCCCTTGCAAGTGAAGCTCCACCATTGATGGACAGGCTGAAGAAGACTCCTTTCTTGCCCCACCTCTCCTCCCAGACCCAGTGGCCAGAGTCCATGACATGCCTAAGAGTCGGGGTCAGGAGTAGTCAGCTGCCAGACCTTGGAGACCCTGACCCGGGTACTTTCTTTCACAAGGTATCTCTGAATTCATTTTCTCTGCTCAGGTCATTCTTCCTTTCAC